ACTGCGTGGTAGCTGAAAAAAGAACAGCCGAGCGTGCACAAGCATGCCCAATTTCGAGCTGACCAAGCATTGAGCCATTTTCGGAGGGCCCCGTCTGTTCGCAGAAAGAGCACACGCCAACAAAACACGCACTTCATAGCACTGAATCAACCATTTCGAAGGATTGTTCCTTGATTTGCACGTGGCAAGCTTCGACGCTTCCGTTTTGCACGTGGTTCTCCAAGAAGTCTAAACAGCGCCCCTGTGATCTTCCAGGACCCCAAGTTAGGGATCCGGAGTTGTAATTGGAATCCTACCCAGGAAGTACGTGGATAACCTGCAAAACCTGTTTTGGAGATTGGTGGCACCCCACTAAATATGACCTGAACAGTTTGGCGAACCTTTTTGTTCAAGGACAACGGCTCGGGAAGTCACTGCAGATGGCTTTCTCCACTTCTCGGCCGCCAACATCGGGAGACAAAGAAGGAAGCAGTTTCAGTTAAGACCATCCCCAAATGCCTGTGGGTCAAAACCCAAAGCCCCTGTCCTAAGCATCGGTTGATCTGGAATGAGAGTCTCTTCTGTTCATATTCCGTGGTCAACCGGGGTCCCGGTTTTGAGCCACAGCCAAATCATCCATCCATGGAATTGTTGAATACTACCGTGTGTTTCCATTTATGATCCCAATGTAACTATAACATACCGTTTATGACTCCAATGTAACTATAACATATTATAACTAGTCCAGTCCCATGAAGTGTTTGGAATTGTACCGGTTTCAAGATGTTTCCAGCATTTTCAAGGATAATGTAGCCCAGACCATCCATGTATGGAGTAGTTACTTAAGTTAGGGTCACAAATGGGATACATATAGACTGTATATTATGTTATATGTGTATTCCATATGTAACTATTCCATATATATGGGATGGTTTGCGTCAGAACATATGCCAGATTGATGGGTTGTGGTTGGTCCATCTGTCGCTCGACCAAGTGGACTATCGGTCATTGATGACCCATCCAGCCCAAAAGATCCAAGTACCTTCTCAGAAGGTGATCGGAGATATTGTTGTGTCAGAATAGGGTAGGTAACTGGTGGGTGGTTTCAGATATGTGAAAAACCCTTTGGGACTTGGTCCTTTTTGTTCCTATGTGGTCCTGTTTCGTTGAAACCGGGTCGCAGCTGGGTCGCTGCGGCATGTGGGGCCTGTGCCCTCCGAGTCGGTCGAGGTAGGTAGCAATAGGTGGGGCTGACCATGGATGAGCAACAAGGTAAGTTCGACCAGTGACGAGGTAAGTTCTGGGTGCCAGAATTGGGATGCATCCTCCCATGAGTTGGGATCGTCTTAGATTAGTTTTATGATATTTCATGGGTGGATTGGTCAAAACTTCAGGAGGTTGATATCCTGAACATAGCGGAATCTGTTCATATTGGTTCAATTGATCCGGGACGGGTGCCAGGGTTTTGACCCAATGCCATGTAGACCTCCAAATAGAAAGGCTAGATCCCCTCCTTCAGAATGTACTGTATTGGACACCGTGCACGACTATACATAGTAGGACCACTATACGTATACGTAGTAGGCAATCCTGATGATTTGTTGGTGGAAGTTGACACACCTCGGTCACGTCGCAACTCGCAGGTAAGGTCAGTCGTAGGGATCCAGTCGTATACACCTCCACCCTGACACCCTGATCACCCTGATGACTTCGATGGTTTGCAGCAGCCCTGGAAGTCCAAGACGAGTTACCCTCCATCCAACAAACATGGTTACGTGGAACACAGCCCCGAAAGGAAGACGGTTTTCCTCTACGAACAGGCTGTATTGCACTTCTATGGTTGTTTCGGGGAGGGTCAAACATGTTCTTTAGTCTTTAGGAGACCCGTAAAGCTCTTTGCTCCTTTCAGTGCAGGTATTGTGAGCAGAGCTTGCGCGCAAAGCAGCGCCGAGAGAATGGCCTGCAACACATCTCGCTGGGGGCCTAGCGTGTGGAACGTTGGGTGCAAAGGACTGTGATACCGGCAAGAGTTGACATGATTCTTATGATATATTATGATGATTGGGTGATGTTTGATCTTAAACTATTCAGGGTGTGGGAATAATGTTGTGAATACTGTTTTATTGTTCTCTCCCATTTGACTAATTGGGTTTCGCCACTATTGCATCTTATTCCATCTACTTTGGAGACCTATGTCGGGAGTGTTTGAATATTCGAGGAGCCATTGGTGAGGGGCGTCTGGAGTGACATGACATGCGTCGTCTTGAGTTTTTTGTCAGCGGTCACTGGGGCGCGCGGAGCAGAGCAAAGGTTTTTTGTGTTATCCGCCCAATGATCACGAAATCTCACCAGAGGGCCAAGTCCTGTTTCTTTTGTTTTTTTGGTCAAGAGAATGTTCAAGAATGATAAGAATGCTCGGTTTTCGTGACCAACAACATCAACCAAAACCTATACCAGGACCCAAGGGGTGATTGAAGGACACCCCTTAACCGCTGAGGGGCTAAGAATAGACGCCGGGCCCCGAAACGGGGATCCTGCCAGTGGTTGGCATGTCAGTAGCCCAGCTCTCAGACTCAGCCAAAAAGGGGTCCGCCTCTATGGGGATCGAGCAGTGCGTGTTCAATGAAGTCAAGTGCACGTCAGATCTAGTAGTAGTTTTAAAGTAGTAGTAGCAGTAGTAGTAGTAGTAGCAGTAGTAGTAGTAGCAGTAGTAGTAGTAGAGAGCAAAACATCAGCGACTAGCTGCTGCTTTTCTTACAAATTTGTTGAAGACAAGAGAAAAGAGAGAAAACTTCACTCAAGACACAAAATAACCATCAAGAAAAATGCCAAGGACAGGGTTCAAGGCAGAACGTCCGCGCGTGAACTGCTGAAGAAACACGCATCGCGCTTGCCTACTTGTAAGTACCCTAACTTGTTCCAAGTAAGTTAAGCTGAACACACTGATTCCCACATTTACTTACGGAACTTGGGCGCCACTTGCCCAAACTAATCCGTGTGTGTAACTAGATGTTTCGCCTGCTGTTGCAATAAATCTAAGTTCTGTAACAAGGCCTGAACCACTAAGTAGGAATCTAGCCACTCTCAGAGTAGCAGCGCGCAACTACTGGATGACTCGATGACATTTTCAAAACGCTCCGCAGGGCATGCGAAGCAAAGTTGTAGAAGGCCGCACGCTGCCGTCATATAGGCAAACTTGTTTCAAGTGTGCCTTTGACTTGGACCCAGGTACATATTTCAAGGATTAATTGCTTTCAAGAACCATGAGCATGCATTCCATGCGCGCGATGCGATGATCCCGCCAGAATTGTAAACGTATTTAAAAGAACATTTATATATATTATGGTTCGAGCCTGACAGTCAGTCAGATGATTTCAACGACCAAGCGTCCTGTCAGACCACTCGCGTGGTCCACCTACCGGAAAATGTCGGTCAACCGTACTACGTAGATCCAGTGGGTAGGTCATCCAGTTCGCGTTTTTGTTTGCGCATTGGCAAACTAAGGTCAGGAGTCGTGCAGGAAGCAGTTTGGATGATCAGGACACTCTTGGCAAAGCCATGGGGTGTGATGTTGAGATGAAGACTTTAGTATTCCGCGAGGGAGTCAAATTCCAACATAAACAACTTCTGTTGGAAGACAAATCCATACATAACCTGCGATGAATAGTGCTCCCACAGGTCAATTTGGGGTTTTGGACATCCGTTTGCCAAGTAGCGCACCACCAATATATACCAATATTGTTGTTTTTGTGTAATCCTTCACTCACATGGGTGCTTTGTGGTTCGTGTTCAATGCGTGCGTGGATATGTTTCATTTTGCGGGGAACCGTGGGGAACATATAGTTGTTGAACACTCCCTTCTTAAGAACATTCTTTGGAAAGAATCGGCGACATCTCAGCAATGTGACATCTCAGCTTCACTCCTTGAAACTCTCAGAACCAGCAGTCACAAAGGGGTGGTGTTTAGTCCCTAAGTGAGTGGATAATGGGCACCCCTAACCTCCATTAAGCACCCCGTCTTGTGACTGCTGGAACCTTCACATGTTTGGAGTCGTTCTCACTCCGAAACTGCCAGGACAGTCAAATGCTTCAGCCGTGAGGAGAGGGTTCGGGAAGACTCAAGACTCCGGGCACCACGCAGACGAACGATGTGTTCGTGGGCTGGTTTGGTTCAGTTGATGGGCCGAAACCATGCAAGAACCAAGCAACATCAAACAACCAAACCACATGCAGTTCTGTGTGGTTGCTACAAATGTCACTGAGAACTTATTGGTAGCATTCTCAAGGCAGGCACGGACGAGTGAAACCGATTTTGGAGATGTTCGCCTCCCCTAGGCACCGGTGAAGGAATACGGATAGATCCGGCGTAGATCATTTTTGAGGGATTGAACAAGGGGATCATATAGGTTTCCATCCCTCATGTAGAGAAATACCAAACCCTTTCACTCACTCTATGCAAATCTTTGCAATAATTAGGTCGCCACATGATCTGTTGATGTACAGGTTGGATTGGGGTAGTTTAGAAGGAACTGGTAGGGTATGGTCAAACGTTTGTTACCACCTCAACCAGTGAGCAGGTGCTCAACTTGGTAGGGTGGCTTCAGACCTTCAAATCACCTGTTTTGTGCCGAGTCTCGGTTGACAGGACAAGCACGTAGCTTTGGTTTCTCTGGCAGCCAGCGGCATGGCCAAGGCAGGAACGGAAGCGGAATGGCAGCAAGCGGTTCAAACATGCTCGAAAGAACGATTTGCATGGATCTTGAACAGCAGTTCGATTTGAAAGGGGGGAGGTCCATGTTGTTCGAAAGTTTTCGATACCTCCAAGAGAGCCCATGGAAGATCATGTTTGGTGGACGGGAACTGCGACAAAGAACGTCATTGTTTCCTCGGCTTCACTCTTGATAGGAACGATAGGAGAACCTCAGACTCACTGTCCATCAGACTCAACATCAGCAGGATAGGCATCAGGTTGTCTTGATTCCTTCATAGCTCCGCAAAAAAACAACAACAAAAACCGCTGCAGTGGCACGTATCTTGGCTCCACTGACCTCAGCATAGCTAGCGGCTCCGCGGCCAATCCACCGAGGGGCCCCTCGGTTCACTGGATGCGCTCTCTCGCCGTGAAACATGAGACGAGCGGCCGCCCGCTGGGCCCAGAACCAGCGGGCCCAGAAGGCCGTCCGCTGGCCGCTGAAGAAGGGCCACTTTGGAAGAATGGCAACAACAAATGGGTTGATCATGGGTTGATCCATGAGTAAACCTTATGACATCCAGGAGTTGAGGCGCCGAACGAACGAACGCAAGTCGGAGTGTCCATTTCATCCACTCACTGGGCTGGGACCAAAAAAACACCCCGTCTCGTGACCCCTGGCGGTTACAGTTTGATTTGTTTTTATCATTTGTTTGCAGGGACGCCGCAGCTCTTGGACCGGCACGACACCACGGATGGACATATTGACCTACCCTGAGACTCTGGGCGTGAACCAACACACAGCCCTTTGCGTTTCGGTGGACAAGGTCCGACCCCTGCCATGGGTCAGTGCCCTTTCGGAGTCTTAGGCTTACATTGACATCAGTTGACATCTCAAAACAGAAAACACACCAGTCTGCAACAAAAACACACCCAATGCCCCAGTCTGCAGTTGTTGGATCCAGATCAACTCTGAGAAGGTGAGATCGACACGACACAGTTCTCCTTGTCAACGCTCCGTTTCTACCTTCGTTCCACGCTCCGAAACTCGGTTGGGTCGCTCCCGCCGCTGGGGTCAGACCGAAGGGCGCAGTCTCCGGATCGACCTATAGAAACTGTCCGCTTCGTCCCCCCGGACGAAACGATAGAAAGAGGTACTACGGTAGTTCAATGAGGAGGGTGCTTGCAATCAAGAGTTTAAAACTGGGATCTATTTGGGATCTGGGACATCCTGGAACTGAGATAGACAGTTCATGACCAGATCGAAGAAAATGCTGCCCCGCAATGTAGGGCACATGGTATGGACGATTTACCAACTGGTCCGCAAAGAGATGCCAGTTTGATCCAGTTTGGGACCTACTATGCACCAGTCAGTTTATGTGGAGTTGTTCTTTTGAATTCAGGTTCCTCATCAGCCAAACCAAGGCCAAGACCTCATCAGCCAATCCAACGTGGCCAACTTGTTGCCGGACATCTGGCCGTCACGGGAGAAGCTACAAGAAGTCTTGAGGATCTTTGCTTCGGAAAAGCGAGGTGAGCTGGCTTTTGCATTGCTGCAGACCATGGCTGCCGAAGGACGACGGCTAAAGGAGTCAGACTTCACCGTGGCCCGGCAGACTTTGCTGATTTGGATTGATCATCAGATACATACAATAGCACTATGATCATCAATTAGCACTATGTTGGAACAAGGCCTGCCACTAGGCCCCATCATCCACCTGGGCCCATGGGATACACCCAAGTTCTACTGGTGATATGCCCTGTTTTGGTCGTTGGACCGTCCCTACAAGCACCTGGTAACCCACGCACGCACTCTCTGTGGCGATGAAGTCCGACCTCCGACCCCCCATGTAAAAATTGTAAAAGCAAGTCTTGGAGTCTTGTAGCTCAAGAACCTGGCGAAACCATCCTATCCTTTGGGCAACCCCCCTTGTAGCAAAGCAGCACTACTGTCAATGGAAAACTAAGACTCTTCAAGATGCTCGGGTGCTCGCCAGCAAACAGGGTGATCTATAGCTTGTCCCAGTATCCAGTATCCCTCAGTTCGCGGATCATCCGAGGTTGGAATTGCATCATGTGCCAAGTCCAGCTTCTGGCAACACGCCTTGAGATTGTTCAGCTTGATGCCGGTCGCCCGGGTTGATCAAAGTGCCTTCAGCTTCAATGCGACCGTCACTGCCTTTGAGAAAGGCAGGCAGTGGCACCGAGCCTTAAGGCTGTTTGAGGAAATGCAAGAAGCAACGGTCAAGTGTGATCTAATCGGATGCAGTGCCGCGATCAGCGCCTGCGCCAAGGGTGGCCAATGGCAGGAAGCCTTGAGGCTGCTGGAGGCCGTACCCAAGGCAAAACTGCAGCCAGATGTCATTCTTTGGAGTACAGCCATTAGCGCATGTGAGAAAGTTGGGCATTGGCAGCAGGCATTGCTTTTGTTTGAGGCCATGCTTCAGGTGAAACTGCAGCCAAGTATCATCACTTACAATGCGACTATCAGTGCCTGCGAGAAAGGCGGGCAATGGCCACAGGCACTGCAATTGTTTCAGGACATTCCCCGGGCCAAACTTCAACCAGATCTCATAAGTTACAATGCAACCATTAGTGCCAGTGAGAAGGGCTGGAGGTGGGAACATGCATTGAGGTTGATTGAGGCCATGGTGACTGCAAGTAGTGATGCAAACGTCATTAGCTTTAGTGCCGCCATCAGTGCCTGTGAGAAGGGCGGGCAATGGCAGCAGACATTGATGTTGCTCGAGGCAATGCTTGGAATGAAGGTGCAACCTAATGTCATTAGCTACAATGCCACAATCAGTTCCTGTGAGAAGAGTGGTCATTGGCAGCCTGCATTGGTATTGTTTCACGGCATGCTGAAGGAAGGTTGTCAGCCAAGCATCATCACCTTCAATGCCATCATCAGTGCATGTGAGGAGGGCGGCCAGTGGCAGCAAGCGATCGCATTGTTTGAAGCCATGCCAAGTCAGAAACTCACAAATCCACAAAAACCATTACACTTTTTGGATCCCTTTCTTTATAAAGTCTAATCTAGTTTCTTTTCCAACATGTTTCTTCGTCCGCTCCTACTCCGTTGCTGAGGACGATTCAGCCAGATGCTGCGAGCTACAATGAGACAATGAGCGCATGTGGGCAAGACGACCAATGGGAGCATGTGTTGCTGTTATTTGAGGCCATGACACGGACATCAGTGCGGCCTGGAATCTCTTACCGCACATGTTTACATATTAGTTTGCTTGGTATATCTATAGGTCTAGTCAACTCATGTTTTTTTTCCCCTTACTCACTGTAAGACTGGGTTCAGCATTCTCATTTGATCACGATGTTTGGCGAAGGTTTCTGTGGAGTATCGTCCAATCTCACAGTAAGCACTCCGAGTCTCCGTGACCCCAAAGTATTCTTTCGGAATCAACAATATGCATGTGTTTATTCTCAGACCTAAAACCGAACCAAGGCAGCCAAACATTTTAAGCTACAGTGCTGCCATCAGCGCCTGTGAGAAAGCAATGGCACACTCAGCGTTCTGAGGGTTTTGCAGTGCAAACCCTGCGAATTCGGGCAGAGATGTCTGATCATTTTTTCAGAGCTTTTGGCACCAATGTCTGAAAACTCAATTGAGCCCAAGGGTGGGTGTTCTGCCTTTCTTTAAAGTCCAAGAGCTCTGAGGCACGTGATGAACAATTCGCTTAGAGGAAGTGATAGTCCACTTCTCCAAGGACCCGCACGAAAGGGACTGGAACAGACCGCCCAGACATTCGGCTTTTGGCGTCAGCGGGGAAAAACTCCACGTGGTTTGCCCGGGCCGTTTTGGAGATACATTGACCAGACAAACCATGACAAACATGCCGTATGTACGCTTGTTTGTCTATCTGGTGATGTGCAGACGGTGTGTTTGTAGCGAAGCTCTCGATGTGTTGGGTTCGAGGCTCGAGGGATCCGAGGGTCTCGAGGGTCTCTAAACCGGTGAAGTTGTGCAGGAATTACAGCGGGGATGGCCTACCTGCACAGTCGCCAAAGATGGCAAAAGAGATAGAAACCGTTTCCACCTTCCATGTTGAAAGCTCTTAGTGCTCTCAAATTATGACCAGAATCAATCCTTCAACTTCATACTGCTCAGCAGCTCATCCTGAAGTAGGTAGTAGGTCAGCTTGAGGCTCAATGTAGACGGTTGCTTCATCAACCGTCTATCTTTGACGCGGTCCGAGCTGCCCCAGCTTAAGCAAGTCTCCGAGCTTTGGAGGTGTTTCTTTTGTCAACAGATTCCCAGAGATTACCAACAAAGGATGGTCCAAGACAACATGTTTCATCCCAGACACCCATGAGATATGGCACGGCATGCCGCCGACCCCAGGTCACCCCACCCCAATGGAGAAAAAGGCAGTCCGGACGGGCAGTCCCATGGAGGAGGTCGTGTCTGGGCATGGAAATCAGATGGCAATCATATGCACCCTGAGAATGCGAGCCCGAACCCACGCACGAACGGGTGACCACGCACGGGTCCAGTGCCCGAGAACGGCCGTGCGACCGCGAGGCAGACGTGAGCGACAGCAAGTTGAAAGGTGTAAAGCATGGTGCCATCGATGCAGTATGAGGGACGTGGGAAGGAGCCAGAACAGGGGCATTGAGTTCCAACAGGAGCCTCACCAATTGATATCACCACTCATAGACGGCCTTAGGCCTTTAACTGTATTCGTTGGTTGATTAATTAGAGGAGTCAGACCTACATTGAGAGACTCTGAAAACATCCCTTGACAAACCCCTAGGCCACCAACCAAACCCACCCTAACCATCATCTCTGGAGGTAGGTCAGGAGCCCTAAGGATCCTTGACCCTTTCAAGCTCAATTGGACCAACTAGCCTTGGCATGCCTGGGGCCACTGGAAGAATGAAAGGACCCAGACAGTCCATAGTTGAAGACGTTTTACCCACTTAAGACTCTAATGTATAGGTAACTATTGCATACATGGAGCGTTTGGGAAAGGACCGATTCATAGACGCAATGATTGTTCCCAATCCCAGGACGTGCGTGTTGGACAAATGGGGTAATGAGGTTGTCAGGGCTTGTCCTCTACAGTTCTTGAATTTTGGTGGCTTTTGTGATAGAATTACTATAGTTTCAGCAATGACAAACGGGGCAACCTCTGCCATGTGCATATATATTGGAGTGATTGTTGGTGCCGTAATGTACCCAGCATGATGACAAGCTTGCTCAACTCTCATATCCCAGCGCTTCCAAATGCGATGATAAACTTAGCATAGTACTTTGCATTTCCAATGTTGAATGCATAGTACTTTTGCATTTCCTAGTACTTTGCGATGATAAACTTCCAAATAGAATGTTGATTTACACCAATGTTGAATCACACCTGCGGGGCAAACTCGTGAACCGAAGGGCGCACCAGTTCCAGTGTCAGGACGCCATGTTCCTCAGAAGCGAGTTTATATAAATCGATACTTATAAAGTTCGAGCCCTGGTTGCTAAGTGCCAGGCTTTTTCTAAGGGCTTTCTTCATCAATCTTTGAGCAGTTGATAGCCAAGGGGCATCAGATATCATCAATGCATATCAATACGATTACTTGGTTTAAGTACACCTAAACAACGTCAAAGTTAATCTTCAACTTTGAAGCTAAGGGTATGGTGGGCTCAGAGTAGATGTTGCAAACTGGGTCGTTGATGTCCCAAAGCTGGCACATCCATGCTGCAAAAATGTTTAAGAAGAGGTGGTCATGTGATTCCAGTTTGTGTTTTTTCCTGTGGTGTGTGGTCAAAAGTTGGTACACTCTGACTGACCAACAGGTGGAAAATTGTTCGTGGAGGAAAACATCTACTTCCATGTTAGTGAGTCAGAGGTCAACTCCACAGCCAGATCGCAACAATGTTACTTATTTGTTTTGATTTGAGCTTCTCCCATCTAAGCAGCCACCTTGGGTTGCCTCACTTCTCCTTTCACACAAAAATCCCACCGTTTGGCCGTTTGGAGAAAAGAATGGAGCCACTCCCGTTCGCTCAGTGTGGTAAGACAGTCTTGGCCCCCAAGAAATTCAGAACTTACATCCACGACTATATGTCAACCACAAAAAATGTATCCCAGACACTCCATGTATGGCATATTTCCTTACATTGGGGTGGTTTCAGTGCTCAATGTAGGCATACATGGAGTGTTTGGGTATGTTGGGCATTCACTACATGTCTCCTCCTGTCCCAATCAATTTTGCGAACTGGAAATAGATTGTTTCATCTTCAACACTGGCATGCCATGACTTGAGGGCACTTCATCGAGAAGGTGTTTTTTTCGTATAAGATCCACTCTCCTTGTGCTTCAGTTCTGCCTCATGATCTTCTACAAAAACATGCATCCTACCCAGGAAGAAGTGGACGACCTTTATATAACCTTGTTGCGGATTGGTGTCCCCACTACATATGAAGAACAGATGGAGTTCGTTTGCTGAACTGTTTCCTTAGAATCGGGATGTCCGACGGCACCATCCCAGCCGACCTGGGCCACGCTCAGCTTAACCGGGACCACCCCGAGGCTTGGCCAAACTCCTTCCGGACATCTCGCAGCGCTCTGTGTACCGCTGCGGTGAACTACCGAAGGGCCGGTTCGCAGGGGGAGAGGTTCTCTGCGCGGTTGGGACATGGACGTACACCGGGTATTGGATGGGTATTTTTGGACGTGCCGGAGGAGGGAGTTGGGCGCTTCAGAAGGGCTTGTGACATTTCTCTTGACGTTGGGATCCGGTCCGATGTGTTATTGATGTGTGTTTGTGGTGACCCATTTCCCTACTTAATTTAGTAGCGCATATGGGCAACACCGGTCAAAGCTGTCAAAGCGGACATCAGCAGGTCTGTAGACATCGCGAAATTAGTCTTACAGTCTTAGAAGCAGAGAGTCATTCACATGGAAGTAGAGTGAAAACCACCGAGACACTCCAAGCCCTAGGGATTTGACCCCAGACCCCTCCACAGGATTTCGGACTGACCCCTCCATATATGAGGGTCCCAGGGTCACGTTTGGGTAGAGAAAAAAGGGCCTACCAGATGTCATTTCAGGGAGTGTAGTAGATTGCTGCCCTTCTTTTGCGCGGGCTGCGGCAAGACTGCAAGGTTTGTTTCAATGGCCATTGGGGACCTTGACAGGATGATGTTGAGAAGGCTACGTGGGCTACGTTTCTGGTTTAGCTCTTCGTGCCAGGTCGTGATCGGCTTTGGCCAGGTGCTGTGCTGGCAAAATCACGCCGACGTGAGGTTCTTCACATGCTGACCTGAAGGTCAGCATGGACAGGTTTTCTTGGAGAAGCACACAGATAGAATACCTCCACAGTCGGGTGGATAGTATTGACTTCCCAAACAGTGTGTTAGCACTTTAGGGGTTCTTACGGTAAGAGTTAAGGACGGGTGTTTGATCGAGGTGCTCGCATCCGCCGGCCGCTAAGTCGCTGCTATTTACAGTACATGCATTCACCTCGAGATCTTCAAAGCGCATTTCGACTGCACAGGCTAGCAGAATCTGGTGGGCCCGAGCGGGTGCTCTTCTAGACTGCGTTCTCGTTGTGGTGCTGTGCACATTTTCGGGCTTGGCGATCACTTTCCGGGGCAGGCACAAGGGGACACCTCACAAGAACCATTTAACAGTTACATCTGGTGACCTGGTGGCAAATGTTCCAGGACATGAGTCTAAGAGACTGCTCAACTGGAGCCTAGCAGACTTTGATAGTGTCTAATAGTCATAGGCGTCATACATAGGGCTGTATGATGCATATATACGCACATTAATATATAAAGAGACCAGTAATAATACAATTGATGATTTGTAAGCTCGCATGGTCTTGACTCAGGAAGAGATCAGCAAGATGAAGACCCTCCTCCGTCAGATGGAGACAGAAGCAGTGCGTGCGAGGGCAGCGGCAGCATACTTCTATGCACTTCGTGCTTCACGTGCTTCTGACGCTTCTTCTGACTTGCCTGAGAATCCATACCCGTGCAAAGAATAGAGCTTTCAGCTGTCGACAGACAGTGAGACCTTTGCAACTTGAATTCTGTCAGCTGTGTTGCTGGGTGTTTCTCAAAGAGATGGCCGCCGCCCAATCTGAGCCATGAATGAAGGAAAATACACACCCGCAGGCAGCCTCCGCCGCATGACACTCCTGCAGATCCTGTGCCTCAACAGCAGTCATTTGGCTCTGAGCCGACTGACCCTCCATATGATCTTAGAGAACCACCTAGTGATGAGTTTTTTTTGAATTGGTGGTTCGTGTCTGATGGCGGCGGGCCCTTGACGGTGATGCCTGACTTCGGTCATTGCTTCAAAAAGTATCCCAAGGCTCCTTTGCGTGCCACCCCTCCAAAACTGAGAGGAACATTTGTCTTGGAAGTTTGGCACCCCTGGCATGACCATGTGCCTCACAGTCACAGCCCACCACCTTTGCCTTCGCAGAGTCAGCAGGACTGTCGGCAGGAAGCGCCCGACCAAGACACAAAGAGTGTATAAGTGTTTGAGTGAAATGTCCATAAAACAATGGCCGTTCCAGGAAGAGCGTGAATGAAGGGTGTTAGGCTGGGAGGTGCAGGAGATCGGAGCGGCTTTATGTCGATGTGCAGATT